GTGTAAGTGTATGTGGGGGTGTGGGTGTGCGGGTGTAAGTGTATGTGAGGGTGTGGGTGTGCGGGTGTAAGTGTATGTGGGGGTGTGGGTGTGCGGGTGTAAGTGTATGTGGGGGTGTGCATGAGGTGGGGGTTTGTAGATCTTGGTGTGGGTGTGAATGTAGATTTTCTATGAATACACACCAACACCTCACAGCCATACCCTAGCCTCACTCTCGCTCACATCACCCACGCCCACAGCCATATCCCATACCCATCCTGCACCCACACTTACATTTATCCACACCGACACCCTCATGTGTTAGACGCCGGAGAAAAAATTGAGACGTGTCCGAATTCCGTGAATTCCGAACTCTTGAGGAATTCTTGAACTCAAAAAATTATATAAAACGTACGGGCACTACGAGACCACCGCATAAGGTGCCGTAAACAAATCAAACGATCCCAAGGAAGTCAAGGATCCCACGGAAGTCAAGCATCCCAAGGAACTCAAGGATTCCAAGGATCCCAAGGAACTCAACGATCCCAAGGAAGTCAAGCATCCTAAGTAAGTCAAGGATCCCAAGGAAGTCAAGAAACCCAAGGATTAGGGACCTGCGGAGTCAAGTTTTTTGATTCCGAAACCCGACTCCGACTCCGAAAAGTTTCTTTTACACAACTTCGACTCCGACTCCGATTCCGAGAATTTTTATTTTCTGACACCGATTCCAACTCCGAAAAACTCCGAAATTTTTTTATTGAAAACGAGCGACCTCTAATATATTTTAGTGCTTAATTTTGAACATGAGCAAATGGATGCATAAACAAGCGAATGAATGAAAACCGTAGAATTATTAAAACAATGAATTTTATTTTTTTTCACTTATTGTATATAGAAAAGAAAAGAGAATCAGTGCCAAGTTCTTGACAAGAAAAGAACTTGAAAAACTAATAGATGAAAATGATGAATCTGTTAGATTTGTACAAAAGAAAAAAACTATGAATTCCAGTCCATTGTGGGAACATTTTCATCAAATTTTCGTAAATAATTCACAACAACAATTTGTATCATGTAATGAATGTAAAACATTATTGGCATTTACATCGACAAATGGCACTAATAACTTGAAAAGTCATTTAAATTCTTGTTCAAGAACAACGGCACAATTAAATGATTCTAATCAAACAACAGTACATGAATTTTATTCATCGACAAAAAAAATAAAAATTTCAAAGAAAATTAAATTATCTGTAGTACAAGCATGTACTGAATTTTCAGCATTAGATGCCAGAGCGTTTGATACAATGAAAGGATATGGTTTTCAAAATTTAGCACAAGTATTATTTGATGCTGGTCGTTCATTTGCAAATTCATCAATACAGGTACAAGATGTTCTGCCACATCCTACGACCGTAAGAAAGATGATATTTTAAACAAACTTTGCTATTATTCATAATCTTACTTTTTTATAATTTTAGATCAGTAGGAATGTTGGGAGAATGTATGAACAATCAAAAGCACAACTAATTAAAATATGTGAAAAAATAAAAAGTTTTTGTATAGTGGTAGATAGTTGGACAGAAGAGTTCACGGGTAAGAATGCTAACCATTAAATCTATCCATGTTGAGCTAGTCAAATCTTTTTTTGCCTTTTTTAGGTATAAATTATTGTGGTATTGCATTACGATTTATCGATGATAATCATAGATTATTATCCTTTATTCTTGGGTGCTATGCTTATGATGCACCCAGTCATTCAGCTATGCATTTTCGTGCTTTTGTTGATAGTAAATTAAATGAATATAATTTACAACTTGATTCATCTAAATTTGTTGTTTGCGATAACGAAGTTAAAATGTTAGCTGCTTTTCGTGATAATTGTACAAGAATAGGTTGTTCCGATCATTACCTTAACAAACAATTGCAGCACGCGTTCGAATCAACTGAAATTCATACAAATAAAAATACAATTGAGAAGGTTAATTGTGCAACAGGTCAAAATGTTTTCTTTCACGTGAAAAAAATTGTTACTCATGTTAGACGACCACATCGTCAACAACATTTGTCAATGAAATTACAAATTTATAGTGAAACCAGATTCAATGGTGCTATGTCAATGCTTGATATCTTTCGGAATGTGTTTTATGAATTGCCAATGGTATTAACAAATACAAAATTTATGGACAATTACAATTTAATTGATAAACAAGCACTTGATGATATATGTCATTTTCTTCAACCATTTGGAGAAGTTACTGAAGCACTTAGTGAAGATCAACGACCTAGTTTACATCGAGTAATACCATTGCGACAATGTTTAATTATTAAATGTGAAATTACTGAAGAAGATTCAATAGCAATAGCTGAATTAAAATTATTTATAGGTGAGAAAAATCAGACTAAGTGCTTTCACATTGTTGCACTTGATGAAAAGTTTACTTAGTACATGTGTTTTTTTTT